TCATCTGCAGTGATTATATATTCTAGGAAATTAATCTGACAGACACTGAAGTTATACTTTATAAGCTTAATATACAGTTCTGTCTCATCTAAGATCTTTAATATACTTTGTATATACTCAGTGTGTTCTTTCTTCTTCACAGAGTACATTATCACATTATTCAGATATATTATTATAAAGATATTCAGATATACACAAAGTATTTTATTAATAAAAGACTGAAATGTCATAAAGATATTAGTCAGATTAAAAGATATTATTAGATATTTAAATAATTTCATTACAGTTCTAAAGACAGTCTTTTATTCATTCTCAGACTGCATTTACAGTTATATATATATATTGATTATATTTAGTTGTGTGAATATAACAGCTTCTGTAAGATGATTGATTACATTCTTAATCAGAGATAGAAGATAGTGACTCTTTATTATCTTAAAGTTCAGATTATAGTAATCTATATATAATCTGAGATTTTCATTCTTCTTCTTCATGAATATCACAGAGGCTTTCACAGAGATCTATAAAGATTGAATAAAATCATTCTTCAGATTCTTCTTTATATAGATCTGTAAGATCTCTGTCTTATAATGAGAGAGCTTATAGATTAATTCTCAGAAGAGTTTCTACTCTTCTATCAAATCTATTATCAGATTCTTCTCATAGTGAGAAGAAAGCTCAGCTGTCTTTACTAAGCTGAATATCTCTGTAAGATCTCAGTATTTCTCTGATATCTGAAGCTCAGTTTTCATGACTGTGAGATTCTTAGACACTTATAAAGCTATTATATAGATAAGCTTGTCTTCTCTAATTAACTTTACAGTATTAACTAATTCTATCTCTGTGAGTGAGTCTGTCAACACTGATTAAAAGTATAAACCTGACTTATGAACAGCTATGTATGAATTATATCTTTGAAGTTATACAAGTTTTAAATACATATTATCTGTGATATTCATAATAATCACAGTTTCTGTAAATCTTTTTCAGATTTGAGAGAGATCTTGTAATTCAAAGATAACTTTTATAAGTCTCTCAGTTCTCAGATCTAAGTTCTCATACTCTGCTTATTATAAGAGCAGATTCTCAGTTTTTATCTTTCAGCTTATTTACTCTGTGAGCTTTAGAGACATTACAGTGATCTGAGATTCTGAGTTCATCAATACTTTTCATACTTATGAGATAGTAGCACTGCAGTGTAATCTCTCTTTATAAGTAAGTATTTTCATTAAGAAAGTAACAGATTCAGATATTAGCTTCAAGACTCTTAAGAAGACTGTTACTAACTCTGTTTATAACTTCTCAAATTTCTATTTTAATGTATCTGAACAGTTTACACAGAGATATTCTGATTTAGAATAGATAAAGCAGAGTCTCTTTTTCTTAATCTCTCTATTATATACTCTATTTATAGAAGCTTATGAAGCTCTCTCTCTCTGCTCAGCAGTCAGATATGAATCTCTCTATATCTTATCATCTTTTTCTGATAAATCTGTTCTCTGTTATTCTAGTTCTTATGAGACTGATCAGTGATCTGCTCTTCACAGATCTGTGACTCTCACAGTGATTTATAAGTAATGAATAAGAGTTATCAGTTTCTTCAGAGTTAAGAACTTAAAGTCTTACTCAATGAGCTTGTTCTACATATCTTTATTCAGTCTCTTTATAAATATCATTATTCAGATCTTGTTTCAGAGCTCTATTTTCACAGATCTTAATTTATATTATAATTTTATAAAGTACTGTAAGTAGTCTTTATCAGATTTCTTATCTCTTTTTCTATTATTAATAATTATATCTCAGATGTTCTCTATTCAGCTTACAGAGTTTCTTAACTTATTCTCTAGATAAATCTTGAGAACAAATCAGTAAGATCTCTTATAATCATTTTTTAAATAATTCAGTCAGTTCTTGACTTCAGTGTAATAGAGATCTGTTATTATATAGATGATAGCTTCTTCATCTTTCATATCACATAGCTGGGCTTGTAAGTCAATTTCAAATACAAACTTGTAAAAGCTTTTATAGATTGTGATTTAATAAGTGATCTTAAGTAATCACAGCTTAAGAAAGTTTCTTTTCAGTTTATAAGTATCTCTGAAGATCATGTCTAGAGACTGAGTTTAAGAGTGTTTACAGATAGTAAGTATTTCTTGTAGAAAAATAGCTTGATTCTGTAAGAGATGCTCAAGAATGTTCTTCACTGAGATTGATTTATTTGAAAATTCAGAGAGTTTCTCTGTTACAGATGCAGAGAATGATATTCTGTAAGTACTTAATAAGTTCTCTGAGACTTCTTCTACAGAGATTATTTATAATTCAGATAACTGTTTCTAAGTATCTGCAGTAGAGTTCACAGAGATTAAAGTATATAAGTTTCTAGTTCTTTCAGTTATAATAGATGATTGCTGACTGACTGAGCTTGAAATGTAAGAATAAGTACTCACAGATGATTATTTAAGTATTTACAGCTTAGTGTGATATGTACTGTTAACTACTAGAAGTATTCACAGTAGAAAGATAAAATATAGAGATTAAATATATAATAGTATTCAAGCTGAGTTATGAATAGTATTCATGAACTTCAGTCTATATAGTTATGTGTAGTCAAGGGCCGCTAGCTCTATTGATTACACAAGAGATAGAAATAGAGGTAAAGAATTTGTGAGAAGCAGGATTTCCTACAATAACTCTTATCTGATAACTTGTATGAATAATTATTTTATATATATATATCTCTAAATCTTTCTCTTTAATTAATTGAAAATTCTGAATTCTGAACACTTCTTTAAATATTTAATTTAAATCTTTATATTTCATATTAATTATGTCTTCAGTTCAATCTCAAGATACATTACAAAGTTAATATATAATATCTAAAATCAGAGTTGAAGAATTATCAAAGAGTGTTTCTTACAGTGAATACATAAACTAGTATAAATAATCTTACATTTATAAGAGTTATACATTATTATATCAATGAGAACTGAACTTATTAAGAGATATTAATTGAATTTAAATTATTAATTAGTAGTCATACTGAGAATTATATAATAGAGATATTAATGACAGTGATTAAAAATAACTATTAAAATATTAATTTCAGTCTTCTTATAATTATAACTGATAATACTGTAAATAACTATACTATAATAAAGAGCTTAAAGTAAAAATTGACTTTGTATTTCTGAAATAATAAATAAGGTTGTATTCTCTACATTACTTATATGATTTAACTTATGATATAAACACTGATAAAGAATCTTAATATTAAGATAATAAATAATAAGATAACTGATTCTTAAGATAAGAATGAGATAAAAGTGATTACTTAAGTAACTTTTATATTTACTTTATAAAAGATAATGTTTTTTAATAATACTTTTTAATAATACTTTTTAATAATACTTTTTAATAATACTACTATTAATTTTAAATAGATTAATTAATGATTTAAATATTATAGATTTAAAATATTATTAATATAATTTATATCTTCTTTAAATACTAATAATAATTTTATAATATTTAATAAATAAATAAATCAGTCACATCACTGAATATAATACAGAATGTTAAAATATAGTGAAGTTTAATATATAAAATAGCTATTCAGACTTTTTAATTATATTAGATAATTAATTATTAAGTGTAATACTCTGATTAAGAAATGATTTAGATATTAAAACTTTCTGATATAAAGTAAACTTAGTGAAGATATATGATTGATTTACTGTTTCAGTTTTATAAAATAATGAAGATAGTTTTAATCACTTATATATTAATACTGCAGTCAGTCTGATAAGTGTATAATAATTTATTTACTCATTTTAAAAAGCAGTTAAATCTCTTAAAAAGAAATTCAGTCTGAGATAACACTATAGTATAGACTATTATTACTATAAGAAATAAACTAGTATATTATTACAGTAAAACTGAACAATCTTTTACAGAGTACTATACTATAATAACTTTACTAGATTTCTCTCATTGAGTTAATATCTACATATCTCAAGATTGAATAGAGAAGAAATAAGACTTATATATTAAATTAATCTGAGACTACTATAATACTAACTATCAGAGATTTGAATAAATATATATTAAAGATATAAAGATAGTGAAATATAATTCTCTAATAAGTAATAATCTTTGATAATACTTTATATTATATAGAACTATAATACTAACTTTGAAATAGAACTTATATATATTAATTACAACTGAAAATCAGATAAAACTATATACTTATTTAACTAAATTTAACTACTATCTTCAAGATAATCTGATAAATTTATATATTAAATTAATTCTAGAGTTATAAAAAATTATTAAGAGTATATATTTAATTATTACACTGATAATACATAATATTCTAATAATTTCATTGATAGAGATGAGAATAAAGTGAAAGTTTAATTTAAGCTAAGATATTTATTACTATTATTAGAGACAATTATAAGAAGAAATAATTAAGAAACTTATAATTATAAAATATAAAATTATCAGATAGTTTAATATCTCTGATTACAGTATATTAGAGAAGTATAGTTTTTATAAGAAAGTAAAGAATAAACTTATATATAAATATATTTAGTTATTTCATAAGTGTTATTAATAATTATTATTAAATTCTAATTATATAAGTAATTACTGAATAAACTGAATAAAACTGAATTTAATCTTCAGTCTCAGTCTTATTATAATTTTAAAAGAATGATTATCTTTTATAGTTTATTCTAAGAAATTACTCTTATTTCACTGTTCTTGTATTAAATCTGATCATTTTTCACATTATTTCTCTTATAAATGATTCATTTTCAGATTTTTTTAATACTTGATTCTGATGAGACTTATATCAAGAAATGTATGAGATCAGACCAAATGAGATTAAATGTGAAATTCATGATTCTGCCGGCTAGTCTAAGTTTAGCCCGTTGATCAGTGTTCTACACTTTTCATATATTATAAAAAAAATAGTGAATACAATTAAGAATTAGAAACAGTGCATGTGAGAGAATTAAGTTCATTGAATTGATACTAGAGTTCTACTATCTGCATCACTTGCTAATAAATAGTATAAACTTGAAGTTCTCAATTGTGAAGCTTGAGATTAGTGTTTTTGTAAATACTTGGGGTTTTTATGAGCTCTTAGATTGTGGATTTACAGATACAGATACAAATCTGCTTATAAACACTTCGAGTTATAACTTTATAGATGGTCGAGCTCTAATAGGAAGTAGTGGAAATAAGTCAAAATTTGGATATGTTTTTCAACTCCGAATATATGAAAATGGAATGTAGAAAATTAACCCTTTCCTGAGAGATAAAAATTCGTAAAAAGTCATGAATAAGCCTCCTGAGTACTGCTTGAGAGGCTCGTGTGGCACTTAGACGCAACATCGTTCATTGTAGCAAGGCAGCCCAATATTATTACTCTGGGCGGACCCGAATAGCCGATAAAACGAATAAAACATAACATGTTGGGATTCATCGTGATGGGCAAAATATTTCTGTTTCCTGATGGCTGCGTTTGGGGGGCGGGGCGGGGGGGGGGAAGAAAAGAATCCAGAGATTTGAAAAGTTGAGGAATGTTCATCACTCGAGCCACTTCGCGGTGACGCTACCGTATTTCTCTCCTGTTCAAGTTGACCCCGTTAGTGTCCGAATTAACCCATTCTAATAGTTGTTTTTTCCTCGTCTTGTAAGACATTAAAGCAAATCAAATTTCCCATTTTCTTTTTTTGCTGTTGTTGTTGGACCCGATATACGTACCTTGACAGACCAGTTCAAATCTCATCTCTGCGGAAAAATAAGTGACGCCAATCGAATACTCGACCTCGTAGTAGTCCTCGCCGTGGTTTCCCTGCTTACGCTTGAATTTCGAGCGCGGGATCGAGGAAAGGTTGTAGTTTAAGACGCAATGTTCGCGGCAGTCTAGATGAACGTTAATTTAGCAAGGGAACAGCCACAGGCATTTAGTGGGTCAGAAACACGAGACGACGGTTTGCGGGTAAGAAGGGAAAGAAGTAAAGGGTTGGGCCTGGTTCACCTTGATTCAAGTAGACCGGTGCGCTCGATCCATCTAGCGGAGAATAGTATATCGAGCTCGAGAATACCAGGGGATCATCGAGAGGGACGGCGCGGTACAGAGGGAAGGATTTTGGGGTGTTTTCTTGGACTTTGTCGCCCTGTTTTGTTTGATGTTATTATCAATGCCTAACATGACGTTATAGCATGCTCCAATATATAGATGACTCTCGCAAACACAAAAAGAAGGAAAAGGAGAAAGGAAAAGGGGTTCGCCGCGTGGGAGAGAAGATGGGGATCGGAGGAGAGGACACAACGTACCCGTTTGATACACCACTGCATGCACTCGGAATGCTTATAAAGGCCCTCGTACTTGTCCCAAACTCTGTAACGGGGTTCATATTAACAGTGAAATAACATGGCGGTTGAGTGAAAACAATTGCACAGGAAGAAAGGGATTCACCGTACTTTTTGTCCGTTGGCATACCCTGCTTCCATGGCATCCACAGTACCAACCCATAATTACCACGACAGTATCGCGATCTGACATTCCAGGTTGGCGTAGCAGAGAGTTGTGATTTGCCTTTCATAACGGCCCCACGGACAATTGCAGTCCATCTTCATGGGGCAAAAAAGTCAGAATACATGTGAGAGAGGGAGAGAGTTGAAGAATAGTCAATATAATATACAGACCCATTAGGCGGCTGTAGAATTGGAATAGGTGAAACAGCCTGTTTGATTTGGCGGTAGAGATAAGTACTTTCCCCAAAGCCGCCAACAAGGATAACTGCGCTGATGGGACCCTGTTTGGACGCTGCTTTGATTTGATCGTTTAGCAATGCAAGTACTTCTTCTATCACCGGCCGGAATACATCTTTCATTTCGGTGTAGGTCATCTCCAAGAATCCAGCACAGATTCCGACGCTGGGATCGTCTTCGACTCCGGGAACTGGATGTATTGAATTCCGAGGTTAGGTGGTGTTACATGATACAATGGAGAAAAGTAGCTAGTGCGCTAGGCTAGCAACTTACTGGGAATCTGGAATTCAATATCTTCTTCATCTTCGTCTTCATCCTCTGTTCCAAAATTGCGTTTTGTCTGTGTGTTTCGTTAGACGGCTGCTGCGGTTCTGAATCGGTGCTCTCGCGAACACTTGCCTCCTTTTCAAAATGGCTCATTGCCTGAAAGCGGAAAAGAGTCAGTGAACGGTGTATGAGTTAAGGAGATATGAATAGAAAACTATCTCTCACCATCGCCTTCGCATTTTTGGAGATAGGCTTTCCGTTGAGTTTTCTCATTAGGACCTCCTCGAACTTCCGGTTCAGAAATGTACTCCCGCACTGGCTACCTCCGCCAATAGCAGTCTCCTCCACCTCATATGGGTAATCCACAGATTTCATCTTGTACGTAATCAAGTCCACAGTCCCTCCACCAGCATCACAGATTACCACGCTCTCCCCAACCTTGATGTGGTGTGGATCTAGCGCTTTAAGTGCATAAACAGCAGCCGCCTCGGGCTCCGACGTCATCTGAAGAGATGTGGTGTCGCCCATACCGGCTCTCATCGCAGCAGTTCGCGTCTTCTTCTTGGCAAGATCGGACCAGACAGCAGGGACAGTGATGATCCAATCCAGCTGGCAATCCTTCATCACGGCTGAGCCGTAGAGTTTCTCCAAGTGAGCGACGGCATGCCTGCGCAGACCTGTCAGGTATGCGGTTACGATATCTTCTGTAGTGCGCTGATATTCAGGGGGAGACACGAAGAGGTCCTTTAGTGTCCTTGAGAGTTGAGTCAATCTGCCGACTCGGGAATTGTCTGGATCCAGGTCCAGTTTGAACCAGATATGTCTCTCCTGTCCATGTTTGATCTGGAAACCCCATTTGAATTGTTCGTTTCCTGGGCCGTCGAAGCGGATTTCACTGTGGAAAAGAGTAAATTAGTCGGTCATGCTTGAAATTCAACCTACTGTGAGGTCGAGGGTTTTCATATATTTCCCTTACGTTGGAACTTTTTGACTGCTTACTCCTCGACCCCAGTCGGTGATAGGGATAGCAGCGTCGGTTCGCTAGTTTTAACAAGAAAATAGCGGACTGCTATTAGCCTCAACCCTGCTGAAACCCTGCGAGAACTTGCCCCTCTCCCCCCCCGCAAAAGTCGAGATATTCACGACATACCTGGGACGGGTCACTGAACGCAAGGCCAGAATACGTCGTCCCGAAGTCGACGGCTATCATAATACTTGTAAGCATTTTGGTAGGAACAATTTCTTGATCTCTGCTTTCCAGCAAAATAAAGCTACAAATTGCTCTCCTGGTGTCTGGCACGAATGTGGAAACGATCGATATTTGGGGAAGACCGACGTCCTCGGCCACAGCACGAGCGCAGGCGAATTTATATATGTACGCACATTACATGTATGTACTAGAACCCCGCGTACACAGGTTTGGGTGGAACGCCGAAGAGGCTCTGCTTGGTGGGTGCTGGTTGAGTGTCAATCAATATTAATGGCCCAGCTCAGACGGGAATTGTCACAACCCTGATCGGACCAGCGCATGTTCGTATTTATCGCGCTCTATTGGTGGTGGCCTGCTCGGTAGCAAGGATCCATGCTCTAGACCGTGCTATCTATGGCCGGCAGTGCACGCCAGTCGTCCCGTTGTTGTTGAACGCCCTGGAGAACAAAGTGCTCATATTTTAGTGCTGCCGTGACCTGCCACGTCTGTCAGCCTTGTCCCAAGGAGAGCGGGCTGGCTTGACTCCTCAATGAGCTCATGGGAAATGTTCGTGTCTTCCTATAAGGCGAAAGGGTCCAGTGTATCTACACCCGTAGAGATCGTTTTCTTTCATAGTACAGGACATACATGACATTCTACGAGATAATAATACGCTTTGCCAACCTTCAAACATGAACTCGAGGGGAGATGCGTCGACGTTGTCGACAGCTCGGAAAATTGAGGAGCTGGATCATTTGATCGAAGTCGATGAACTACAGCAAGATTTCGCCGCGCTTGAGAATATCCCAGACGAAGAAAGGTCAATATTATTTTTCCTCCATGAACTGGAACGTGCAAATCAAGGTCTCCTTGTCCATCCCAATCTAACCATGTCATCAGCATGAGAAGCAAAGTTGGCACTGCAGAAGCGATATTGGATTCGCAAACAACGACTACAGCACCCCGCCGCCTGGGAAAAGACCGGCCCCGTTCAAAAAGTGCTACAGGAATACGCCCAGACGTCGGAAACCAGAGCCCTGTTCGTAATGTCCATGTTCAAGAACCGAGCGCCACTCGGCCACCTGTGCCTCCCCACAGGTCAGCAGCCGGGAAAGACAACGCCTTTATTCCAAAATCCCATGCGGAAAAAGAACCTCCCAGATACGTCTATAGAGGTGCGCTCGACGATTCCCCCGAGATGGAACTTACCCACCAGGTACACCGCGGTATCACGCAGGCCGGGATGGGGGCGTCGTATGCTGAAAGAGCTAGGAGAGCTGTTGCCCCTGAGATAGATATCGAAGGCATGTATCAGGAGCTTATGTACTACCGTCGCGCTACACAACATGCATTCCGGGAATCCGAGTATTATAAAAGGGTTGCTGGCTCGCTCCATAAAGAGCTGGAGGACTGTAAGAAAGATCTATGGGAGGCGCAGGACGAGAAGAAGGCGCTGGGACAGCAAATCCTAGACCTAGGAACGGTAGCGGAAGGGGTGACGGACGAAGTCCTGCGAAGAATCTTCCAAAATACCATCGGATCCGCGGTAGAAGCTCACTCCAAGGTTTTTGGCAAACCCACAGGTGACGATGCTGAGCGTTTGGGGAGACTGCTCAGCCCGGAATGTACTAAGTTGCTACAGCAGTTTGGTAGAAAGTACTACCACAGCTTGCTTGCCAGTGCACTCTTCAAAGAAACTGCTGATGCAGTCGGGAAGAAATACGTGGTGGGAGCAACATCGGGAATTTTAAGGCTCACCAGAGAACTTGGCGTGGACCTTGATCCCCGTAGTTCATTGACGTTTTTACAGGTGTTAGAGGAAATTCTCCATTTACCATCGATGGGTGAGCTGTCTCCACTATCAGTAATTATACATAAGGCCGAGGAGAGCAACTGGGTGCTAACTAAACGGACGCTGTTGATCAGGGGTACCACAGCGGGAAATTAACGTGTGGAGATCCAGCTTCGTGAAGCTTCTCCAATACCTACCCGAAGTCAAGGAACTAGCAAATTCTTCCGGGGCCAAAGCGAGCGCAGAATCAGAGCTTTTGGAACTCGTCGATGAGGTATGGGCGAAACTGGAACCGCACATCCCCCTAGGAGACAAGGGCCGTCGCGGTCTGCAGAAGCTATTAAAGCTCCAGGCAAACCTTCGCGTGAAAACTAGCCTGTCCCTCGCGTCCTACGAGCTCAAGTTCCACGAACCGGGCACGCAGTTCAACGTTTCGACCATGAGAATTGTCGATATTACGGAGGGGGAGTGCGAGGACGACGAACTTCACAGACTCGACAGTGAGAGTTGCGGTCGAAAACTCGTTGTCGGGTATTGTTTTTTTCCGGCTCTTTATAAATGGGGCAATGATCGTGGATTTGATAATGAGAAGGGCCATGTCGTCGCGCGCGCTACTGTCTTGCCTGTCTATGAAGATGACCCCTTTTTACAGCAGCAGATATTCGATGGTAAGTGTGCATGAGGCATGTGTCAGCATCGTTGCCCCTTTTTTTCCCCGCTCAATATCATTGGTTTTACTTTCTTCTCTTTTCATTTCGGTTGAACTGGCAAAAATTGCGTGATATCCTTGCGGGCGAACTTCCGACCCAAATTTTCGGCATAGGTTTCTGACTTGCATTTTCTCCTCCCTTGTTCCTCATCAGACGCCAACCAACCACCAAAACTCGACGACATCCCGATGGCAAATTCTCAATCTTGAAGCGTCAACGAAATTCTTAAAATCTAGTCCACGCCCATTAGCGGATAATTCGAGTCTATAAGCACGGCTACATATAAGAAAAACAAACCGGTTATCGTCGAATTAATATTTCTTTTAGTTGCGATCATTGCAGTTCATTACATCCCCCCCAACTTTTTTTTTTTCCCATCTAGTGTAGTCTGGGTTTGGGTTGTGGCGAGGGGCGACGAGACGAGGAGAGAGAGGGGGCTGCCCGACCACACAATTGACACTTGACACTTCAACTGTGCGTGTAGTTATATATATATGTGAGATAATAGTTAGGAGGATGTTGAAGAGGGTTGTTGAACTATTTTCATGGGCTCTGGCAATGGGATAGTTATATGGGAAATAGAGTTATAGCATCGAAGGGGGGAAGTGCTTCCCCATTGTTCATTGGCAGGTCAATAAATGTGGAAATTCCAGGAAGAGTTTCTTTTTAAGAGGATACTGTATACAACGCCCTTTTTTCACTATTAATTGAAGAAGACACTGCATTGACATGTAGAGAACCTCCTACCTAAACGAGTATCGCTTGATCGCGCCAGCCCCAGATATAACTATCTACCATTGCACCCAGTAGCTCTACGAGAGTCGTATGCCTATTATAGCATGCAACCGATTCATTCCACCGGGAACGAGCATGATACGGTATGGAGTGCGATGAGAGCCACTTCAAGTTCATAGTTGAAATACATTTAAGATTCGGCTTTCTTTAATCATTCTGCATATAATAAAACCATCATGTTCTGTGGGTTACTTCATTTTTTAATACTCTTGGTTTCCACCGTTTCTTCCGACGAATCCATTGCACCCCAGTTTTCCAACCCAGGATCGCCCTTATCGAAATTTCCGAGAAATAGAGCTCTAACAGATCAAATGGAAAACGAAAGGGAAAAGAAGAATCCATGTCATATCACATTGGTCGGAGTAATAAAAAGGAATAAAAAAACATATAAAGTAACAAGAGAAATGAAAAATGAAAAAAAACAGGAAAAAAAAAGAGGCAACGAGGATCGAAAAAATTTCATAGGAAAGTGGGTGTGGCTGTACACATTACAGGAGAGGGAATACATCATAGACGCAATTAAAGTATAACGGACACAGAAAGAAAAGGAAAGAGGAAAGAAATGTAAAATAGAACAGCAACGTAACAAGATATTGCAAAGGTGCAAAAAGGAGACAAAGGGAATTGTAACAAAACGAATAAAAGGGAGCTCGTAGAACATTCAAATGACAGGACTGGACATATGTATTAACAATGGTCCACAGTAAAGCCACAACAGACGGTGGAAATTGTATCAAGGGAGAAGGCGAGAGGCAGGAGATGTCGGGAATATGGATGCTGATTGCAGTGAGTGGTCTAGAAGAAGAGGTATGCCAAGAGGAAACTGAGGAAACAAAGACCAGCAACAACTCGCAATGGGACGCCAATTTCCGCCGGCTGAGGGGGGTGCTGCTGTAGCCCAGAAGATGTCGATCCTGGTGCGGTGCTGCTGATTTTTCGTTGTCCTAGACCCTGATCTGCAAGCTGATCTCTCAATTTTTCGATTTGTGCTCTGGCTTCCGCAAGTTTGGACTTCAGCTCTTCACTTGCGGTATCTTCTTTTGGTGGTACGGCGGCGAGAGGGGAATGCCTCGATTCGGCTTTTGGGGCATCCGATGACGTCGCATCTGGTAGAGCAGCTCGGACTGCTGTTGGTGTATCAAATTTAGAGGCATTGGGGGAGGTGTACGCCGGGGGTTCTTCCTCAGGAGAAGCCTGCACAAGCAATCTATGTAAACGTGGATCCTCTCCGAGGCCAGTGGGGATAAGATACCGACAACTGGGACATACAATTCCATTAATTTCCGCGGTTGCGGTTTCCGCAGAGTCCTGGGGAGGCAAAAATTCGACTTTTATTTTCTGTTCCTGAATAGAGCTTTTTGATGTCTGCTCAACGTGCTGCCACTGTAGCTATGGTTAGTACGTGCCTGACGGGCATAGTGGATTGCACAATGGGACGTACGATCGAGCTGACATTGGAGAAATCCTTGTCCGTGGACACTGCGACAGACTGGACCAAAAACTTGTCTTTAGACGTGCCCACTGACCTGTCATCCTTCATCGCCTGAAGAAGAACTGTTGTTGTCGTAAGTTTCTGAGTGAAATACCTCAGTATTGCGAAGGATGGGAATGCTGACTGACCTTGAACATCTATGCTCTCGCCTGCTCCAATGCGGCCAGAGTTCGGGCGCACGCAATAGCTGAATGGCAAAGGGTCAGGACGTCGAATGTATTAAAACATCGAAAGGAAGGGGCTGGCGAACCTTTTGGGAGCTGTTGTCTTGACCTACATACATCATGTGGTGAGTTTGTAGCTCAAATTGGATGAGTTGTCCTCCCAGCGAAGCGCAACCATACATACCTTGAATGCAACCGGCTCATCGTTGTTGTTTTCTATAGTGAGGGTTTGGCTGACTTCCCGAGTAAACGGCCCTGTAGATATATATACGTCAACGGGCATGTTAACTCTGTGATAGAGGGATTGGATTGCACTCACGTTGAAAGCGGAGGAATTTCTGAGGTGGCTTCGCTGTGGGATCCTGGACGGCGCTGGGATCCTTCGTGCGGTCGTCTTCGGTGATCAGGTTCACTGACATTGTGTCAGGCGGAAAAGTCCAGGTATGAGAGCTAACACTAAGGATGTTCAGGCTGGGGGACGGGGGGCAGGCGTGAGAAGGGCGTTGATTATGATGATATCGCGAGCAGCCAGCACACAAGACAGCTCGGGGTGGAACAACATCAACACAGCGAAGCAAGGCCCGGGCTAGGCAAGGCGGCGATTGGTCAGCCCGTCACGTGCATCACCCCTAGTTTAGAGATGCTGCAAACTGTAGGATGGTTAATCTTCTATCATTATCGGAGGAGCTAGCTACGTTATATTACATACGGTGCATATGTGTAGGCTACTGGGGCAAAAGAGCTCAATCACCACCAGCGCACTGCTGGTAGAAGGGCCGATCAACCGCGGGACCCACCCCCAACAATATGTCTTGGAGGATAACGTTGTTGTGTGTAATCTAGCTACGCGAGGTACACTAGATAGGTTGGGGGATAACGTTGTTCTCCAAGAGGTTATGAAGCCCTCAATAAGCTACGAACAACCGCAAATAACGTGCCAACCACGTCTCCACCCCATGGTTAACTTGAGATCGGGTGGAACGCCGGATCTGACAAAGGAATATGTGCCAATAATGTGTAGAAGAAGAAATCCAGAAACACCAGAAGCACAACAAGAAACAACAGCAGGCGTGCCAACACCTGCAACAAATCAATTGCCCCAGGAGCTTTCAAGATGAATGACACAATTGTGAAAGAATAATGAGATAAGTTCAATAACAATTTTGAAGATTCAGTTGTAGACATTTACAAGAGATCAGATAATATGAATAGCTTCAATAACTATAATACAAATTCCTCAACTGCAGTTTTTATTGATATAAAAGGTGCATTTGATCATGTTTCAATGTCAAAAACAATTTAAACTTTGAAAAAGTTGAAATTTCCACTTTCTTTAATAAAATGAGTTGATTGACACACTCGCTACGGCCGCCGATCCACGTGATCGGCGATCGCAAGCTCCTATAAAAGTGTGGGATGGTTCATCTGTTGTATTCGTGTGAGAAGAGCTAGCTATATTTATTCATACCGGAAGAACGTAGGGTTATTACACGACCGGATTATGATTGTTTCATCATTTCAATCAGCAACACAGTCACTGAGCTGTAAATCATAGTATAATAATGAATAAATGATGAAATCACTGTAAATAAGTTATAAACTAAAAAAATCAATTATTATATTAATAATGTTACTGAATTCAATCTATATAATAACTAATTTTAAAAATTATCTTATTTATTAGTATTATTCTCTTTAAAATTACAGATACTTCTATCTAAATTCTCTTAAATTAATCAAACTAAGTTTTTTTTATAGTTTTTATTTCTAGTTATATTACTCTTATTAATCATATTACTGAACTTATAAATTAAGATTTATAAATTAGTTATGATCTGAGAGACACTGTTATCAGTTATTTAATATTTAAGAGTTAAAATTTCAGAGTAATTAGATACTGAGTATTTAGAAGTCTATATAATTATTAATTTTTAAATATCTTAGTAATTAAATAATTAATATGATTATCTGATAGTATCTTAATATGAGAAATTAAAATATATAAGTTTAAAACCTGTAGAGAATACATTAAATTCAGAACTTAAGTATCTCAGATTTCTAATAAATATAGAGATGTATAAATTACTTGAATAAAAATTACTCTATATTTCTAAGCTGAGAAGTTATTATTATATGTATTTAATTATCACTTCTTTATATTTTTCTATGTTTTTATTATCTTGATATAATCTTAATATCTGTGTTTTTCTTCTGTATAATTAACACTTAATCTGTATTTAACATTATGTAAGAACTTATTGTAAGCTTCACTTGCATATAAGTATAATAAAAGAATAATATAGCAGGCTATGCTTAATTAATAAATTATTTCATTACACTTCATAGATTTCTGCTGAAAGTCTCTAATTCTTAATCACTGATTCTTGATTGAAGAACTTATAGAGTTGCTATTCATTTACTCTAAAGCTTTATCTTGTATATATATAAATATCTGCTTTAATTACTGATTATCTGTAAGAGATCTATACTAAATAAATCAGTATAATATTTATAGATCTTGTAATTCAAAAGTAAACAATATTAAAGAAGGAAAAGAAAGAGAAAGTATAAGAATCAGTAATTAAAGTGAATATTTATACATATATATAATAATACACATAGTGAAGCTTTGAGATGAAAGAATAAAAATTTCATAGATTTTTTAGTAAAGAATCAGTGATTAAAAATAACTGAGAATCAGAGCTTTTAATAAAATCTATAAAGTGTAATAAAATAGTCTATATAATTGATTAAGTGAATTTTGTTATATTAGTCTCTTCTTTTCTGAAGTAAGATTATATGTAGTTCTTATCAGTTAAGAGCTGCAGTCTCAGATAATACAGAACTCAGAGTTCAGATCAGATAATTATAGCTGACTTATTTTATAAGATATTATTAATTACAGTTATAAAGTTTTTTATCAAGAATATCTTTAATCTCTTACTTAAGTTTATTATCTTCTGCTATAAGAGATCTACACTGAAAAGATCAGTATGATATTTATAGTTCTTATATAACAAAGTAAAAAATATTAGAGAAGGAAAAAAGAGAAAGTGTGAAAATCAGTAATCAGAGTAAATGTTTATACATGTATATAGTAAAGCTTTAAGACAGAAGAATAGAAATTCTGTGAGTTTTTCAGCTGAGAGTCAGTGACTGAGAATTGAAGCTTCAGAACAGAAGAATGAGAATCTATAAAGTGTAATAAAATAATCTATATAATTAATCAGACACAGTCTGTCACATTAATTCTCTCTTATCAGAAGTAGTTCTCACTAATCAAGAGCTGCTGTTTTGAATAACACAGAGCTCATTGTTTAGATCAGATAATTATAACTAACTCATTTTATAAGATATTATCAGTTATAATGTAAGAAATTCTGCTTCTTGTGAATTCTTTATCTCTATTTCTATCTCTTATGTAATCAATAGAGTTAGTGGCTCTTGACTATACATAACTATATAGACTGAAGTTTATGAATACTATTTATAACTCAGCTTGAATGCTATTATATATTTAATCTTTATATTTTATCTTTCTACTATGAATACTTCTAGTAATTAACAGTATATATTACATCAAGCTGCAAATATCTGAATAATTATCTGTGAGTACTTATTCTTAAATTTCAAGCTCAGTCAGTCAGCAACTATCTGTTATAACTGAAAGAATTAAAAACTTATATACTTTAATCTCTATAAACTCTACTGCAGACACTCAGAAGTAGTTATCTAAATCATTAATAATTTCTATAAATGAAGTCTCAGAGAACTTATTAATTACTCACAGAACATTATTCTCTATATCTGTGATAGAGAAACTCTTTAAACTTATAAATAAATTAATCTCAGTGAAGAATATTCTTGAGTATCTTCTATAAGACTAAGCTATTTTTCTACAAGATGTGATTCAAAGGTTTCTGCCTAAGCGTACAATTACAGACGTACGCCGGCTTCTTATATATTGTACACTAAATTAATTAGTAGCCGCTATGACCTCTTTACATTTGTAAGTAAGTTTGAACGTAGTTATGTTATTATTCAACAGTTATATATTCTTCTGAATCACATTCTCTCTCATCAGATTTAGTCACACTTATATAATTATAATATTCACTCTAGCTTCATACAGATTAGCATGTCACTAGTGTTTATAATCATATAATCTATCTCTGATTCAGCTAGTGTCTTATATACACTCTTATAAAGAAACTTTCACTATATTACATTACTTATTCACTAACTTTTCTCATTCTTCAATCATCTTCTTCATTATCATCATTATTAAACATTATTATCTCATTCAAGATTACTGTCTCTTCTTCTGTTCAACACCTTCTATCTGTTTATCTATTACATTATATGTGTTTCTGATAATAATCTCTTATTCTTGTAACAAGTGTCATTGTAATACTCATACTAAGCAGTTTATTAGCAGTAAGTGTAATGTATTGTAGAATATAACTGAACTTGTTTATCTTCTAACAATTGTCAGAATGTATTATTATGAATAGTATATCTTCTTCATCTTCTTATACACTCTTAATTATTTTTCTTCTCAGCAGCTTCTAATCATGTTTTCTGACATAATTTTACATGAATACAGATGCTGATGTTTATTTTTATTTATACAGAATCTTCATATATTGATAGATCTGCATTCACTGATAATAGTGAACTCAATATTAAATCATTGATTAAGAACTTGAAGAATATGATAATGAAGAAATTGTCTGTGTTATATATAATCAGATCTTCTGCATCTCTCTCTGTCTCTTCTACTGCTATTTCTTTCTCTATCACTCTCTCTCAATCTTCTATACCTGCTTGTGTGTCTGATTCTCCTGCTTCTGCTATCTCTGTTTCTGTAACTCTCACTCTCACTACTTCTACTCTCTCTGATTTTATTATCTCTGCTTTTATTATCAGCTCTTCTCATTTTAAAAAGATGTCATATAGACTTCATAAACTATGTTTATCAGTATATATACTCTCATCTTTCTTACTGACTTCTAGAACAATTTATTGTATAAAGACTGTATATAACACAACTATCTAAAGCTCAGTCACAGACACTGATTATTACATTGATTTTAAATATTTATAATAAGATAATTATTCATTTATATCAGAGAATCACTTCTCTCTTCAACAGTGTCAAGATTATAAATCTTTTTCTTTTTCATCTTTTCTTTCTGATACTGATTTTTCTGTTCTTAGACAAAATTGTTATGAGTTTTACTGTGCATGAAGTTATAATATTTACAGATATTAAGAAACTTTTCATAACTGATAAATTTAATATTACAGGTACATCTGCTCTAATAAATTTCTTTGAGATGATAGATTCATATCAGTCTATTCTCTGATATCTGTTATCTGACTTTGTAATACAGATGAAAGATATCTGTGTTTTCAGAAACAGAAATATAAATATCATACTTTTTTATATCTGTAAGTGTGAGACTCATACATCTTATCTGAGATATTATTATGAAAATGAGCTGTTTACACACTGTATTCTGCTTTCTGCATTTCTCTGTGTCTCTCTCTCTCTTTCTGAGAAGCCTTGTGTGTGTTGTAATTATATATACAATTCTAAGATGAGCAGATATTTATTCAGTAATTGTTATTTCTGCTTTTTACAGTTTTATATACTAATAATAGTTCTTAGTTACTTCAGCATCTGAGATCATTCTAATCAAAGATAATAACACTGCTGAGACTACTTTCTCTCACTTTCAAGCTTCTCTCAGCACTTTCTCTCTCTCTTCTACAGAGAAGATTGTATATACACTGAGTTATAAGTATTCAACTCTGATTAACTCTCATTATTATTCATCTAGTTCTGCATCTTCTTCTTCTTTGATTTCTTTTATCTTTATTCTCTCTATTCTGACTTCTGATTCTGTGAGTCTCATACTCTTCTTTAATTTTTCTACACACACATGTACACATTTCTATATTGATATTTCAGTCAATCTTGTAATAAACAATATTAATGTTATATGCAGAGTGATAGAGAAATCAGAGATATACACAGTGTTATTACAAGAGTGACTTACAGCTCTCAAATTCCTTACAGATCTTGAGTTTTGAGATTTTCTTTATTTTTGATGTTTTTCAGATGATGTGATATTGAAAATAGATCAAATATGTGATATATGAAAATGAATGAGATATATATGATAACATTTATCTTTTACAGCTGACTCTTACAGTTGATGATTAATTCATTTCTCTTTTCTTACACTTTTTCTTTGTCTGTTAGTTACTACTCTTACACAATCTCTATATAATACAGTATTTGATAACTAGGTTCAGCAGCTTTCATCTTTTGTGATTCTGTCTCATATATTATACTGTCTCTCTTCACTCACTCAGATCACTACAGTAAACAGCTCACTAAAACTAATCTTACCTGATCTCTGAGTATTTTGAGAGATTGAGATGACTTAATCTCACATATTCACAGATGTTTCAGATACTTCATTCTCTGTTATCTCTGCAATTAAACTGATATAAATAGTTGAATTCAACTCTGAATTTCTTTTTCTTCTGTGATCTGACTCATATGCAAGTCTGCTGCTTTGAGACTGCTCTTTATCATATTGCATTCACTGTCTGTGATATATTATCATATAAACAGCTACAGTCTTATCACTTATTGAAGTATGATATTTATCTGATTTCTTCATTTCTTCTCATTGTTTTCTTATAATTGTGAAAAGATTAGAATAAGTGAGATTATCTGATTTATAAGCATCTATGATTTCTCTTACTTTATAAGACTTTTCAATTGTAAGTCTCTTCTTTTTCAACACTGATAATAGTACTGTGAATAATCATAATCTGCTCAAATCTTACATCTTTATCTTTATAAAATATGAATCATTTATCAAGTTATACAAGACTCATCTCTCTGATTTCTTCAATGTGTAAGTTTTCAGAGAATGTGATTTGAGTATTTTAAAGAGTTCAAATCATCTAGATTGAAACTTTTCAGAACTCTCATTATGTATAAGAACTTATATTCTTATCTTAAGACTCAATTTCTTAACTAGTGAGTCTTATATTCTTTTAAATTGAATTGCTCAGTTCAGGAGTAACTTATTAGCTTTTGCATGTGTGTGACTGATCTCTTTCAATCTTGATTTCATATCTATAACTGTTATGTCTGCAACTAGACTGGCCGCCGGAATCATGAATTTCACGTTTGATTTCATTTGGTCTGATCTCATACATTTCTTGGCGTGAATCCCGCTGGGACTGGCTATCAAAAAAACATGTAAAGTGACTATATATCAGATCTTAAAATGGAATCATGACTTGAAAAAAATGAGAAAGTGATCTCATTTGATCTCATTTAGTCTCATTCTTGACATAAAGTTACTATTTTTAGACATTTTAAGGTTTTTTTTAGACTATTTTTAATTTTTTAAAAAGTAACACTTTTTGATAACACTCAAATGAAGATTTAAAGTCATTTAAAGCAATAAAAATAATTTAAATTGAGAAGTGGAAATCATGATCTTATTTGAAAAATGTGACAAGAGTAGACAGTAAGTCTCACTGAAACAGTATGAAACCACTATCTAATGTTAAAACCGTGTAATGAGATCAGTCGAATTGATAATGAGACTATCAAAAAATCTGGTTCTGGTCTCAGACACGGTTACATGATCAGTCTATCTGCAACTGCTACTACTGTATCTGTAACTGCTGTTCTCTTTCTCATCTTTTCTGAAGTATTCTCTGAGATGCACAGATACAATTCATATAACAGATAGAATGATGAATACTTAAAGACTGCATGCTGCTGAATTCACGTGACTAATAGCATCTGACTGAGATATTCATCTCATAAGCTTGTAGACTTACTGACTAAATATTTCATCAGCATGTTGCTTAAGATTTCATTCAAGCATTTCATCTTCCTGTTTATCTGTGAATAATATGATGTTGTTCTACAATGTCTTGTCTGTAACTGGCTCATGAAATGCCTGATCACTTCTTCTACAAGATTCACACTGTTATCAGTTAGAATCTCATGTGATATTTCATAGTTAATATAGATTTCATTATATAGAAACTTCATCATCATCTTCTCTATCATCTCTGAAACTGCTTTCACAACTGATCAGTCAGTAGTGTAATCAATAGCAGTGATTATTCATCAATTTTCATTTAATGTTCACAGTAATATATCTATAAGATTCATTTCTTATCATTTAAATAGTTATATTATACACTTCATCTGATATTATACTTTCTCACATTCTAACTCTTTCTTAGATTCTTTCATAATCAGACAATTCAGGCATTCATGAGTATATGTCTGAATGTTCTCAGTTATGCTTAGTCAGTATACTCTTGATTTAAGTATACTCATGAGTTCAGGGCTTTCTAAGTGACTGAATTTCTTATGCATGCAAGTCATCAAGTCATATCTAAATAAATATTCTAGATAGAGAGCTTCTGCATATTCTAGATTACAGTAAAGCATAATATCATTTTTCAATTTTTTCAGTTTGAAGTTCAGAAGCATCTCTTCTATCACTTTTATAAGATACTTATTATCTGTTATCTTACTGTTCTTCAAGTGAGAGATTATTGCATTCACTCATTCAGATTCTTTATATTTTCTTAGCATATTTAATGTGAACTTTTCTTATATCTGATTTATAGAATTCTTATTCATGAAATCAGATCTATGACTGATTGTATCAGATATCACAGTGTCTGATCTCTTTCTGTATTTAATATGAAGATTATACACTTAGAACTCTGAGATTCAACATACTAAGTATTTGAAAGGTTTTATCATCAATTATAGATAGATAAGACTTTTATGATTCATAATCATCATTGTTATATACTCATTATCAATATATCTATTTCATAACATCAGTGTATACTTAATCACTAGCAATTCCTTTTCATACACTGAATAATTGAGCTCAGCACCTGATAATTTTCTACTATTATATATCATCAGATGTAGCTTGTTATTCATACTTATCTGTAGAAGAGTGCCTCTGATAGCCTATTCAGATATGTTTATCTTAATATAGAAAGATTTATTATGATCTGATTGAATAAGCACTGAGAATATTATTATATATTCTCTCAGTGTGAGAAAAGCCTCTTCATATGTGACATTTCAGATAATTGAATGAAACTTCTTCTTTCACAGATTTGCATTCATTTCTCTTAAGAGATCTGAGAGTAATGCAGATATTCATGTGAAATCCTTGATAAATCTGTGATAATATGAGATCAACTTAAGAAACTATTGTATATGATATATATTTCTCAGCTGCAGTCAATTCACTATGACATTCAATTTCTCTAAGATGAGATATATACAGTCATCACTCACTACATATTCTACAAACTTCAACTCTTTCATTTCAAACACACACATTGTTGATTTGATGTAGAGCTTATACTCTGTCAGAGTTATAAGCACTTCATTGAGATTCTTCAGATATTTATTGTATAAGTTTGAAAAGACTAGAATGTTATTGAGATATATAAGATATCAGATTTCATTCTGTTTATAAAGAATCATATTCATCATTATTTAAAAGATGATAGGTGCATTTGTTAGACTGAATAGTATTATCAGAAATTCAAACTTCTCTCATTGTATATTAAATACAGTTCATGAAACTGACAGTTTATCTATACAGATCTGTCAGTATTCTGAGAGAAGATTGATTTTTAATAGATATCAGATGTTTTTAACTATATTTAACTGTTATTGAATCTATAGCAGTGAATATTCATTCTTGATTGTAAGCTTATTAAGTGCTTGATAATTAATATACATTTATCATTTCTCATCTATCTTTTTCATAAATAGAACTGAAAAGTCTCACACACTTAATGAGAGTTGTATAAGACTATGTTCTAGAAGATCTGTGATCTGACACTTCTGTTCTTTGAGATGAGTTTGTGACAGAGAGTA